ATAGTGATAGAGCAATTATAGTTCACTCGTTGATTTATTTTGAGAACTTTGTAATCTCCAACATCTGAATAGTGAAATCTTGCCGTTGTATTTCATTCATGGACATAAGTTTGCTTGTTGACCCGAACCACGTAAATCTCGTGTGTTCTATTTTTGTTCCATTTTATTTTTCTTGTGCCTTTGGTTCATAACACTTAGGACAATTAGTGTTATAATGGAATCAGTGATTGATCCATATAAGGCTCCAAGGTGTTCTTCAAAGAAAAGTTTTTCTAAACTTCTTTTGTGTTTTGAAAACATATAATGAGCCATCAGTAGACCCCTCTTGAGTAACACTCTTTAGTTTTTAAGAGGACTAGTTTTTACTTGATTTTAGACTTAAAATCGGTAGAGATTGCTATGTTCACAAGCCTTCTCTAAAGCGGTCTTTAAAGACTTTAAAAAATATTCTAGCAAAGATTAAACGAAGGAAACAGAGGAAGAATAGTAGTCGCAAAGGCGAGTCAATCAGTCTCATGGTTGCTCGAGCGATCCTACTCACCTTCGTTTAGTTTAAATTATTTTTTCATTTCAGGACCACCGCCCTCCCAATGATTGAGCGATTGTTCACGAATTTTTATTTTCATGAATCCCAAGACAAATCCTATTTTGAGCCTATAAATAGAGGGATGTCTTCCTAGGCTAGAGTAAGCCTCTTGAGAGTAAATTCAAACTATCTTATACCTTGAGAGCTTGATTTATAACCCTAGATCCTCAAATAAAAAAGCTACCATCTTATGATTCCTATCCAATCTCACATCTTGGAGAAGAAGAGCTTCTTTGTTTGACCCAAACCCATTGACAAGTGTGCATATTGAGATTGTGGGTGTGCCATAGGAGTCTTTGAGGCCTAAATGAACCGTATGGTGTGGGTGTTCAAGTGAAGCTATCTAAGAAATTGATGGGTATTTCCGGTGGAGAGGTTTATTGAAGGAAACGAACATCTAACCATGATATTGGTCAAGGTATAAGTCTCGAGTACTTGTAATCTTCAACCGTGCTATGGCATCTACTACCAAAGAGATTGTTTGGTTACGTTGGTTACTTGCAAATATGAGAATTTTTTTTTCTCATCCCACTCCTATGTATTGTGACAACCAGAGTTCTATTCAAATTGCTCACAACTCTATTTTTGATGAACGCACTAAGCACATTGAGATCGATTGTCACCTTACTCGTCATCATCTCAAGCATGACACCATTACTTTGCCCTTTGTTTCTTCTTCTTTGCAGATTGCAGATTTCTTTACCAAGTCGCATTCTATTTCCCGTTTTCATTTTCTAGTTGGCAAACTCTCGATACTTGTAGCTGCTGCATCGTGAGTTTGAGGAGAGATGTTAAGAAATATATGGTTATTGGTTATTTTGTTTATTAAGGGTAGAATAGTCATTTACTTTCTCTTTGTTTAGCCTATATATAGTCTCTTTATATTTATGTTAAATCATTGTATTCAATTGAATTATGCAGTATCAATAAAACTCTAACATTTTCTTTTCTTATCTCTTGTATTTCTCTTTTATTAGATTGTTTAACATAGTTTACATTTGTCAACGTCACCATTGGACAGATATAAATTTTAACTTCTAACTGTAATATTCTAATTGTGGTCATGACCTTTCTCTGACACTAAATTTGAGTGAGAACATGAGTAGTGGACAGGACTTCGGGTAAGTGAAAGGGGACTCACTATATAAGTTGCATGTGTTTGAGTTGTCTACGGTGCCTTTAGGGTGAGAAATAACATGACTGTGCATGGAAGCACCGACAAAGCTTCAACCTCCAAAAAAGTAAAGAAAGGAAACCAACCCTTTTTAGCTGAAAATTTTGAACATCCAAACGTTATATGTGTAGGTATTTAGTTGATATACACGTGTGTTGTACGTGTATTATTGACTTATAAGGTTTGTTTGTATTTTAATTTTTAGTTTTACACCAATGTGTTGTGTGGCCAAATTATGTTGAAAGACCTTACATTGAATAAAAATACTAAGCTAGAGTGTAATAGGAAAATTCATTACCTTAAGATAGTGTTTAATAGGAAAAAAGCTTATACGTATTCTTAACGAGTTTGCACATTAACTTTGTTGGAGGAGAAGGCGAATCAGATAAATAGCAACTTGCGGATGTAAAATTAACAAAACCAAATGCATGCTTCAGTCATGCACCACATGTCTTTCATGTAAAGCAATTCTCCTCGAATCATCACTAACGCAATTTTGAGCAGTAACAGTCAAACATATGCTTCAAAAACTTGAAATCCAGAGGACAAAGACAGTTTTAATTCAGATCAAGCCTTTCAAGCAACATGGTTAATTATGTTCCTCATGATGAAAATAAAGCATATAATTATCTCTCCCTAAATGTGGATCACCGAAAAGAATGAAGCAACACAAATGTATACTGGCAAGAGTCTAATATGGTATATATGGAAGTAATTCTTCACTAAAAACTTCTTACACATGCTGAATGCATCATTTTATACTGCTAGAAGTTCAGTCCTTGACATTAATGTTCTATAATTGTACTTTTTATGCAAGAAGTGGATGCTCTTTAACTATAGTTGATTGTGATGTCCAAAAAAATTACTCTTCATTATTACTGTCAGGAAAATAACCTTATAGAAAAATACAGAACCCACATAACAAGACAAAACCTTGGCAAGCATACCATTCATTTGCCAAATTTTCACTTGGCGATCATCTGTTCCAGAAACAATCAGAGGGAGAGTGGGATGGACTGGAACCCAATTGACTCCTCGATCATGGCCCTCTAAGACATACTTAACAACAACATCAAACCCACCAAAAAAATTTGTGTTCATCAGGCTTAACCGATGGATGTCATCAGCGGGGTAACTGTTTTTTTCTTCAGTGCACCAATATCTCAAACACGAACAGTTTTATCCAATGACGCGGAAACAACCATGTCCTCTTTGGGAAGGAACAAGCACAATCACATAATAAATATATCCATTCAACACAAAAATACAAGTACTGGATTGTCAGTTCCACTCATGGTGAAATTCAACTGTACAAATGTAATCAAGATGTCCAAGAAGGGTAAAGAAAAACCTATGCAACCTTTAGTTCAACCCCTTGATCTTGTAATCATCTCCTGCATAAATAAGCATTTTCATCAAACAAATAGCTCCCTCATGCACAAAATGAATAAAGCACTTAAAAGTCTATTCTTTTTCTTCTTTTTTTTTTGCAGGTACATATATTGCAAACACGAAGTATCTATAATTTTTTTTATAAGCTGGTCAACTACATTTTGGGCGGATAGAATGCTAAGGGATTCTAAACGTTGAAGGCCTTGGAATAAAGAGGGGAAAAAAGCCCATTAGATTCTATCTCATCTCAGAGAAGTAAGGGAAATGGAGAGAACGCAAATTTATTCCACTTGTCATGCTTTATGAAATTTTTAACCAAGCCAGATGGTTGTTAACGTGTGACATATTTACAGTTCTTTAGTATCCATTGTATTAATACAAACAAAGCAAGCTGCTTTTATAAATTCAAGATATATTTGATATTTTCATTGTTATGTTCAAATGTTCATGCCCTATGTGGTATACCTCTATTGAATTTCCATTACACTTGGGACACCAAAAATGGGTGTGAACATATTTTCAGACTTCGGGTCCATACAATTTACCATTAGAGTTTTGCACACACTTCAAGTTGATATTTAACAACTTCAATCCAAGGTAAGATATCACCTAAAATCAATACCCAAAACAAATCAACCAGGGAATTTTTTAGGTCCACAGACTATGGAAGCCAAAAACTTGTGAAGGGGGAAAAAAAAACTAGGAAATAATGACCCCTTTAGTACCACAAAAACTTAATGACCAAAAAACAAATGCTAGAAATATTAATTAATGAGGGTAGCTTGGTCAATTCAAACACGGCTGCCCAATTATAATTAAAACAATAAATTTTGGGAACATACAAAGGTTTTATAATTATTTAATAAAATATGAGCGATGAAAAAATATGTTTGATAAATTTAATATGATATTTAATTCAGGTATACATATAGCTAATTTTTTTTATTAATCTTTATATATAAAAATTATTTACGTGCAACACACATGGTGCATTACTAGTATATATTGGTCCCAAGAGTAATAAATTTCTCAAAATCGAATATGAAAACCCTCAAAATAAAATCTCAATAACCCCAATCCACTTTTTACATATCCATTGCCTATGAAATTAATATCTAGATTTACGTTCAAATTAAACAAAAAAGCAATTGGATGCTTTGATTTATATGCTCAGATTAAAATTGTTGTACTTTACAGAATGGTAAGCTTTTTTGTCTTTATATAATAAAGTAAAAAAGAATTTGAATTGCCAAACTTATGTTGAGTTTTTTGCAGCTTAGACTAATTATGGATAAACATAAGTTACATCTAAGGGTCTATCTTAAAAGAGAGGACTTAGAGTCGCTATATAAATTTTCAATCTAGCAAGAGATACAATAGAATCCAAAGAGACCATCAATATTTAAGTTGTTTGGATTAATATAGATGATGATGGATTTACGTGATATTTATCTTTTATCAAATGTAATTATCACTTTATAAATATAGTTAAGGTCTCATGTACTCAAAAACTGTCAATAATATGCCTTTAATAGAAATTGTTCGTCATCAGCTTTTTGTTTTTTTTTTTTTTTTGGAGAAGGGGAGGAGGACTTGAACCCTTAATTTCAAGAAAGTAAAGTCTTCATAAGACAAAGAGTATCATTAGATCAAGGTCCATTGATAAACGGTTAAATTGAGATCATCTGCTGAACCACCATTGAAGTAGATAACACTTCGAAGCAATTCTAATACCTATCAACGCTAAACACAGGGTGGGTTGTCCTCTCTCTCCACTCCCATGCCCTTCGCTTTCATATCTAAGCAATTTTCCATGTCTCAACCATAACGTGTGCCCTCCCACCATGCTCATGTCCTTTCCTTTCCTGTCTCAAAACAATTCTCTGCTATCTTACACCACTTTCTCGTATTGACATTTTGGTTTTGGTGAGATGTGACAAGGTTTATGTGGCTTAGGTTGTCCTTAGAAAATGCTTGTGAATCCAAATTCTTCAGGAGGGCTTTTCCAGTGAGCACTATCTGACAGTTAAGTCTGGCAGGGACATCACATTTCACTCTCATTGTCCACCCTTTTTTTATGAAGAAAGGAGAAAACAATTCTAAACTTTGTTCATGATGAGATATGACAAGTCCTCCTCCTAAGTGTCGACGCCCATACCAATCACACGTTGGTTGATATGTCATAAGTTCCGTAGAGGCTATTTGGGGGGCTTTCTTAGCGGGTGATGAGTGGTCTAATCATACCTTCGTAGGGACTCCAAATTTTGTTGTCCCACGTCTACCCTTGTTTTGTGATGCAAAAAGGTTGTCCTTAGAAAATGCTTGTGAATCCAAATTCTTCAGGAGGGCTTTTCCAGTGAGCACTATCTGACAGTTAAGTCTGGCAGGGACATCACATTTCACTCTCATTGTCCACCCTTTTTTTATGAAGAAAGGAGAAAACAATTCTAAACTTTGTTCATGATGAGATATGACAAGTCCTCCTCCTAAGTGTCGACGCCCATACCAATCACACGTTGGTTGATATGTCATAAGTTCCGTAGAGGCTATTTGGGGGGCTTTCTTAGCGGGTGATGAGTGGTCTAATCATACCTTCGTAGGGACTCCAAATTTTGTTGTCCCACGTCTACCCTTGTTTTGTGATGCAAAAAGGTTGTCCTTAGAAAATGCTTGTGAATCCAAATTCTTCAGGAGGGCTTTTCCAGTGAGCACTATCTGACAGTTAAGTCTGGCAGGGACATCACATTTCACTCTCATTGTCCACCCTTTTTTTATGAAGAAAGGAGAAAACAATTCTAAACTTTGTTCATGATGAGATATGACAAGTCCTCCTCCTAAGTGTCGACGCCCATACCAATCACACGTTGGTTGATATGTCATAAGTTCCGTAGAGGCTATTTGGGGGGCTTTCTTAGCGGGTGATGAGTGGTCTAATCATACCTTCGTAGGGACTCCAAATTTTGTTGTCCCACGTCTACCCTTGTTTTGTGATGCAAAAAGGAAAAAAAAAATCTAAATTCTAGCCATGGTCAGATGTGACAAGACCTCCTTCTTCTGAATGTGGAAATCAAGCCCAATCACACATTTTGCAGGTTGATTTCGAGGAACCCCACCCTATTTGGGGCAACTGTCAAATGCCCCATATTAATTGTCATAGAGCAACCGTTACATCAATACTACAGAATCATTTCAACACAAAGCTATCCATTCAAAATGGTGAATGAGTGAAGTTGAGGTGGGACATTATTTGGATTCCACCACTGAAACCTCGTGGATATGGCACATTCTCAATCTGTGGAGTTCAGTCTGTTTGGCCGCCTAAAAGAAAAACAAACTGTTCGTTTCATATGGGTGAGCAATTAAGTTAAGGGTTCTGGCCACAAACATGTCACATGATATCGGCGGTGCAAAACCAAGTTTTAGTAGGGTTTTGGTAAAACCTAAGATGGACAATCATGAGCAGATATTTAGAGTGTAGAGTAGAAATTGGAATTCAACTATTATTATGAGAGTCAAACTTCGTACGCTGGAATATAAGGTGATTTACAAATAACGTAATAGGGTGATAATATTACATCCAATCACGAACGATTAGACAAAAAAGCTGAACTTATATGGGCTGAGGTTCCCACAAGCAGAAGTCCAGAACACTATCTTAAAATAGCATTTTGTTATCACTCTATTTGATAAATAATAGCAATTGTAACATATGCCAGTATGCCTCTTATCAAGTTAACTTAGGAACCTTTTGTGCGATGGCAAAGGCATTTCACGAAGGACAAGTAGGAGATGAAAAAATGAGCGCTGTGATGGAGCGGCGATTGTTTTGATTTGTTATTAACAAAGGAAAATTGGTTTTAAAGCGGTGATTAGTGCATGATAACCTTGTACTGACACAAAAAGTTGGTTTGATTCAGCTTTATATCTGGGATCATCATCTGTGCAATAGTATGTTCCATCCTTTTTTTTCGGATCTAACACTAGGTATTAGTCAAGGTTCATGTACATATGGGAATACTGTTCTTCTTTAATTGGGAATGAAAGTTAACAGAGGTAACGAGCTGTTATGTCAATGCAAGATATATGGTTTTTTGTTTTTTCACATGCATGTAGACATTTATAGTGCGAATTACTAAGATTAAGACATGCCCTTCATTACTGATGGATATAGTCTAGACCTCAGAGTCCAAATATCACTTCCTAGTTTTCGGGAGTTGGTGATCTCAAAAACAGCACCAATAAGTTGTTTGATGACCTGGCGATCTTCGGTGAGCTCTTGCAAAGAAGTCGAGGACTAGAGGGGCTCTAGGGATAGACCTTCCGATGATTAAGTCAATAAAGGTAAAAATGATTGACTAGAATTGAGCTGGGAAGATTTACTTATCTGGTTCCTAGCTTGCTCCTTTCCTTTATAGGCTACCAGCCTCCTTTACTATTGAAGCTCCTTCAGCTACTTTTCAAATAAGGCGCCTGAGAAAGTGGAAGTCGTCCTCAATAGCAGAAGCTGGTTTGAGCTATTATCTTGGGATTGGATGAACAAATTGGTGATGCAGTTTTGATTTATTGGATATGATTTTTCTCACTAAATTGCACACCCCATGGCTCTTATGCCTGCCTCGTGGCAGTTTTTCTCACGTGCCTTGGGTGAGTACGTGCTTTCTTTAAGGCTAAATTCATACCCATCAGCTGCCCCTTATCTCAAACCAGTGGAAGGCATATGTTACGAATTGATTACACTTGTTTGTTGAGGTGGTACTGTTTGCATCACACACTCAACCGCCAAAGAGATATTGTGGGCCCAACTTATATAGGAGTCCTTCCTTTTCTTTTTTGGTGAGCCATTAAAAACTTCTGGAATTCTGGTGCACTTCTGTCTCTTTGTCGTAATCCTCTCTTTAATTTTCACTATGACACGATTCTTCACTCTAGAGAATATATGTTGGAGTCACATATTTCAATTTTACTTATATCTCTTATGTTTCTTATGGTGGAGAAATTTCATCTTAGAGAATTTAGGGTTTTTTGTTTGCAAGTCTGTTCGTGCTCGACTTTCTTCTGAGTTTGAACTTTGTCTTCCCCTAGTGGCCATAAGACTTAATCGGTGTTTATCCTTGAATTTGTACATCAACCATCGTAGCTTCAAGGTCATGAAAATTGACTCTGATCAATCTCCTACCGAGAATATCTCCGCGCTCGTAGCTTAGTCTGATGCGGCCAACGAGGACTTCAATTCTATCCAAGAGATTAGGTTTTTAACCCAAAGAATCAATGGGGCCACCATAGCTGTTTGAGCAAAAACTCCCTTGTAGAGCTTAGGGCTCAATGCTCAATACTCAATTCCTGACTCAGTGTGTTTACGAGTACTCTCTGTTAATGAGACTACCAATTCCTTTCTCTCACATGAGGCTTGCTTCTATGAGTCTACCTTTGAGGTTGGACTCTGTTTTTTGATCCCTAAATACATTATGGAGGATTTTTACCTCTTGAACCTCTCCCCTACCCAATATGTGTCATTTGGGCTAAGGTAAATGGCGCAGGTGTTTAGCATATTTTAGCTCAGCTAATGCAATGCTACAAACTCACACCTTGCTCTAGGCAAGGCTTGGGGAGGTTTTATTTTTCAAAGATAGAAGGTCCATCCCTACTAACAACCTACTCCTAAAATGTGAAAGAGTGAAAGGACAAGTTTTTATTTGTTTCTGGCTCTGTTGGGAATTTGGGTGTTCTGAAGTTTCTTTTAGTAGTTCTTTTCGTGTTCTTTGCATTTGGGAGATTCACACCCCTCTTCCAAATAAGCGCATTATTAACAATTCCTTGTAATATCTCTAGGCTCTTGTGCTTACCTTTTCTCATGTGTTGGTAAACCAAACTCCTTGTCCTCTGATTCGAGGGCATAGATCAAACTAGTGCTCAAATATCCTTCAATTTCGAGCTAGTGAATGACTAGGCTCTTTTTGAGTGCCTTTTGGGACCTCCTCCAAGTGGTCCTGCAGCTTTGCCTCCTACAACCGCTATTCCAAAAGGTATAAACCTTTATTCCTGTTGCTTTGAGTTTCCGACGTGCCTAACCTTTACAATTCTTTAGCTATGGCCCTAAAAGGTCGTTGACTAGAAGTTCCTCTAGGCAATTATAGCCAAGAGGGCATCTAAAACAAGCCCCTTTTATCACAAGAGGCCAAGAATGTCCTTCCTTCGGGAAACTAAGGTGTCCTCAATCTCTGGTACTTCACCAACTTCCTCCCCATTTGCTGACATCACTTTTGGGCATGGTCCCCTATTATCAGTGAGGGAAAGGTCAAACCGCCCTCCCCAGTAGAAGCTCCCCTTGTTCCTCAAACTGTGAAAGAAAAGGGTAAGGCGTTGGGAGTTGCCGAGGAAAGGACCTGTGCTTTGCCGACTTTTCTGTCAAACCCCACAACTGCTTCCCAGTCCATGTGGGACAATGTAGAGGAGGCAAGGACTCTTCTTCATCAATTCATCACAATGACAAGTTATAAGCCACCTTTGACCTTGGGCCATTTTAGGAAACCAAGAATTTGGCCCTCGNAATGGGGCCACCATAGCTGTTTGAGCAAAAACTCCCTTGTAGAGCTTAGGGCTCAATGCTCAATACTCAATTCCTGACTCAGTGTGTTTACGAGTACTCTCTGTTAATGAGACTACCAATTCCTTTCTCTCACATGAGGCTTGCTTCTATGAGTCTACCTTTGAGGTTGGACTCTGTTTTTTGATCCCTAAATACATTATGGAGGATTTTTACCTCTTGAACCTCTCCCCTACCCAATATGTGTCATTTGGGCTAAGGTAAATGGCGCAGGTGTTTAGCATATTTTAGCTCAGCTAATGCAATGCTACAAACTCACACCTTGCTCTAGGCAAGGCTTGGGGAGGTTTTATTTTTCAAAGATAGAAGGTCCATCCCTACTAACAACCTACTCCTAAAATGTGAAAGAGTGAAAGGACAAGTTTTTATTTGTTTCTGGCTCTGTTGGGAATTTGGGTGTTCTGAAGTTTCTTTTAGTAGTTCTTTTCGTGTTCTTTGCATTTGGGAGATTCACACCCCTCTTCCAAATAAGCGCATTATTAACAATTCCTTGTAATATCTCTAGGCTCTTGTGCTTACCTTTTCTCATGTGTTGGTAAACCAAACTCCTTGTCCTCTGATTCGAGGGCATAGATCAAAC